GTCAACGCATCCCCACCCCAGCCGCCACCCCGATGTGTCGCCCTGCAGCAGCGTCCCATCCCGATGCAGCCACGACAACCCGCGCTGCCCCGCAGCACAGGAAGGTGAGGAGGCACCGCCGCCGTTGGTGTCAGGCAGGCTTTGCCCGGTCGTGCCCTCTGGCGACGGCGAGGAAGGAAGGGGCAGAGGAGGGAGAGCCTGGCGGCGGCGATTTGGAGGCGCCTCCCCGTTGCCTCGCGAGGGGCGACATGGGAGGGGAGATTCGGGCCGACCAGTCCTCTTCATTTTTTTGAATTTTGTATTCCGCTATTCCTATATGTCCATGAACATGTTGGACAGTGTCTGGATGTGTGTGTGTGTGTGCTCATTTGTCCATGCAACAGTCGTGATCTTCAAATTCTCAGCACACATGCCTCTGACTATGAAATATGAATGCCCTCGAATGTCCCTATTAATCATTACTCCGATCCCGAAGGCCAACACAATAGGACCGAAATCCTATGATGTTATCCCATGCTAATGTATCCAGAGCGATGGCTTGCTTTGAGCACTCTAATTTCTTCAAAGTAACGATGCCGGAAACATGACCTGGCCACTTAAGGCTAGGAGCGCGATGCCAGCCGAAGGGTCGAGTAGGTCGGTGCTCGCCGTGAGGCGGACTGGCCGACCCGGCCCAAGGTCCAACTACGAGCTTTTTAACTGCAACAACTTAAATATACGCTATTGGAGCTGGAATTACCGCGGCTGCTGGCACCAGACTTGCCCTCCAATGGATCCTCGTTAAGGGATTTAGATTGTACTCATTCCAATTACCACACACTAATGTGCCCGGTATTGTTATTTATTGTCACTACATGATTGATAGGGATGGAGGGAGAAAGTCAAAAGAAGGAGAAAAAAGTGATCTGAATCCTGCCATCCGGAGTCGGGGAAAAAGAACGCTCGTTCTGGTTTCCCTGAGAGGTCATGCATTCAAATAGTCTCTGGATTAGCCATCGTTTCCCTGTCGTTCAGGCTGTGCGTCGTCCGTACAACAGTTTCGCTCTGGAAACGAAACTAAGCTATGTACTCAGCATCTCTCCACAAGCATAGCCATATGTAATGGCAGCATAGTAGAGATCGTGCAATAAAATAAATTTGGATCTGATCTATTGGCCATTAATTTGATCATAGATTTAGAGATTTCGCATGTTCGTTTTGGCAGTTGAGACAAACAGGAGACACCAAGCATGTGACCCTTTTTTTTATTGCAACCATGCAAGGTCTTCTTAAGAATAGCGTGTTCATATGAATTAGGCTTCTGTTTCTCCCCCTTTCCTCCTCGAACACAATTATACGGCTGTCATTGTTACATACTCCCTCCATTCCAAAATATAATACGTCCGCGCTTCCCGAGGTCCAACTTTGACCATAAATTTAATCAACGAGACCAACTGCGGTAGGAGAAAAAATATATATAATTGAAAACTTCTTTGGAATATGAATTCACTGATATAATTTTTGCTCCCGCCGCAATCGGTCTTGGTAGTTAAATTTACGGTCAAAGTTGAAGCACGGAGATAGAGGAAGCACTACATTGTGGAATGAAGGGAGTACTCCATCTGTTCATAAATATAAGATGTTTTGGACTGAAATGAGTGGACAAACACACTAAAACGTGTCTATATACATCTGATTTAGAAAAAAAAGTTAAAACATCTTATGTTTGTGAATGGAGAGAGTATTTTTTTTCATGGAAAGTATACACCTTATGAGTATGAAGTGAGTTTATTCAGCTATTCATGGTAGTAGAAATTAAGGGGACAGAACCAAAAGAGTCTTTTGAAACCTGACTGTGAAGGATACACCTAAAGTTGCATGCTCACAAGATTTGCATGAGAGCTTGGAAATGAACAAAAAGGAAAGCCGAGGAAGTGTTTGGTTGCAGATCGGTAACGCAAACACAAACGTAATTGGGTTACACTGTTAACGTAAATGGTATGGGCAAAAATCATATTTTGTTTGGCTACCTACACTGTAACGTTAAAGAATACCAGAGTTGGGCAAGTACCAGCCGAGGACGAACCGCTGGCTGGAAGCAGATCCAAGCTGCGCATGGCGGGCGAGGAAGGAGGCAGCATCGTTCGTGTCTTGGGGGCGAGGGCCTGAGAGCGAGGCTAACAACAATGACAGCAGTGGCGGCTGCAGCGACGGCGCCGGGCGGTGGACGCAGCGGCGGATACAACGACGGCGACGGTGGCGGCTGTTTGGGGCGGCGATGTGGACAGCTGGTGGCGGCAGAAACGCTTTAACCAGAGGAGATAGCGAGGAGGGAGACACCGCAGCGGCTTTCATTACAGACAATTTCGACCGGTAACATATTTGAACTAGGCTGGGATCTAATACCGTGTTATGTGATTACGGAGCAATCAAAACAAACAAGATTTGACGGGATCCGTTGACGCTGTAATCAGGTTACGATACAAAAGCACGAGCCAAACACCTCGAAAGGTACACGTTACCTAAATTTACTACCAGAACACCTGAACATGTTGGCAAAGTTGGTTGCAGTTTCTCCCAGCTGCACACAGCCTTTACAGATCACTGACAGCAGGAGATACAGTGGCGCCAGTTGAAACAAGAAGCTACACGGAATATGATGCAAAGAATCTTCTGCTTGTCATACTGCTTGCATGTCCAGGAACGCAAGTGGAAAAGTAAAACAATGATGAGAAAAGGAAGAATACAAAAACCTGAACCTAACTGACCCCACTTTTCCCCCTAAGACTGCTGAAGAACGTAGATGCTTCGGAAGAGGCCAGATAAGGCTTAAGGCATCAATCACATAAATTATGGGATTAACATCCTTTTGACACTAAAGATAAAGGGAGATGCTACACCTTTGCTCTTCTGGATATATTTTTAGCGTCATAGTGACATGTACTCCCCCGCAAAAAGAAAGTAGTGACATGTACTACTAAACAGCAGGAAAAGCTACATTTGACAACTCATCATGTAAAATGGACAGGAGTAAACTAGCTGGAAGGGCTTCACAGGCGTAATTGCACATTGTTTTATTAATCATGCGACGCACACGCGTATGAATAATATTGACAATTTTACAATGGGAAGAGAATGACCTACTTATCTTTCTGTTTTCCATCTCCCCGGGAAACAATAATTAACAATCTCAGCCATTGTAACCTAGTAAACCTCGACGTGCCATTGCTTGTTCTTTTTCAGCTGTGACAGCTTCTGATCCCAACTCTCACCTCTTTGCTCAGCTACTCTCTTGAGTGTGTCCTGAATCCCTAGCATCATCCCCTTCAAACCACAGAAGTAGATGTGTGCACCATCATCCAAAAGCTTGAAGATTTCATCACTGTACTCCTCGATCCTGTCCTGCACATACATCTTGCCACCGCTCTTGTTTTTCTGCTCCCGGCTTAGTGCTTTGTCATACCTGCAGAGCCCGTGAAACTTGAGTCAGTTCAAACAAGAATCGGTCAGCTTTACTCAAGTCAAGCACAAATATAACCAGATAGTAGAGCTCTCAACTACACAAGTAAATCAACAGAACTGGACCATAGCATTCACAACAATATCATTGGGCAAACTGAAATTAGATGTTGAGCATTAAAGTCTTTTTAACCTGAAATTTTCTGGATACTGCTGAAGGTAGTTTGTGAACTCTTCGTCATAGAGCAGGCTGTCAGTATTGGCAACACCAAGAAAGAGCCAAGCCAGACCACCAAACTTGAAAGATGGGACATCTTCCATGAACATACGACGTAGGTAGCCACGGAAAGGAGCAACACCCGTGCCAGTTCCAATCATGATATGAGTTGCGTTTGGGTCATCCTCAGGCAGAAGCATTATTTTGCCTGAGGGGCCTGAGCATGGGCGAGAACCATCATGAGATGCTTACCAGTTCAAGTACATAAAGCCTATCATTACATACATAAAGTATATGGCATGACACATAGACTATGTTCACAGCCTATGCATTGAAAATTCCACGTGATATTACAGTGAAAATTGAAAACAGAAGACGATAAGGTCAACGGGTGCATCTTTTTCAGAGTGCCCCAAACCCACAACCCCATCCGGCCAAATCTATTAGCAGTTTATATACAAATACACCTTCTATATGATCTGAAATAACTCCGGAACAAAATGGTTGAGTTACAAGCAATGAATTGTCGTTGTATGTACATTTAAGGCTTTTTACACGGCTGCATACCTGTGATCTGAATTTTGTCACCTGGTTTTGAGTCACACAAGAAGTTACTGCAGATACCCTTCTTTGAAGGATCTTCTTTTCCAGTTTCAGGATCATAATAAACAGCACGGCGCACACAAAGACTAGCAGTCCTTCCATCAAAAGAATCGCCATACCTAGTAGACGCAATAGAATAGAGTCGGACGGTATTTGGGGCCCCAGGTTTCTTTGGGTTCTCTCCCTGGAAATGCACAAAAGGCTGAGAGAGCAACAAAGATATGGGACGAAAGGAATTGAACATAAGACGGGAAGTGATCTTTAGTTGCTCATTAGCTACTGATAACTAATCACCAAGAATGATCAACATGTTTCTTCCCTTTTTATAAAATGTTTTATCAGTAAGGATCTATATACTTTCTTTTAAAAACAATTGTCATATTGTCAGCAACCCAAGAATCATAAACACCAGATTTTGCAACCCAGGACTCGGAAATAAAGATTTTGCATTTACAGATTTATCCACCATTCAACATCACATATATGAAGAATCTCTCATACTAGAAGGGTTGGACGCACTTTGCTGCGTCGTTGGTGTTGTTGGGTTTTCATAATTTTTCTACTCTCACTATTTCAAAATATAAGGCGCATTGGTTTTTTGAAAAGTCAAACCTCTTTAAGTTTGACCCTTTTTTTGTAGAGAAATATATCAATATCCATAATATCAAACCGGTACCATTAGATTCAACATGAAATGAATTTCCATATTTCATTTATTTAGTATTGTGGATGTCGATGTTTTTGGTTGTCGATTGATTTGAAAAATCGTTAACCCATTCAAAATCGTGAACCAAATCCAAAATTGGTTACATGAATCGAATGAGGGAGCTCCAAAATTAGGGAGTATTAATAGATTAAAAGAATTGAACGAGAGAGTTCCTTGATAAAAAGAATTGATCCGGTCAAAATCAGGCGACTCAATTCTAAATTGAAGACCTCAATTGAATGTGAGAGCTCCAAAATTAGGGAGCGCGGTGTATTTATAGATGTAGAAATGATGGTTTAAATTTCTGACCCTTTTTAATACTTACTTTTACTATGTTTAATATTTACTTTTACTATTTTTTCAAAGGGTTGAAGGGGAGCCCCGGCAGAGCGGTAAAGCTGTTGCTATAGACCCTGGAAACAGCCTCTTGCAGAAATGCAGGGAAAGGCTGCATACTATAGACCAAAAGTGGTCGGACCCTTCTCTAGACCCTGCGCAAGCAGGAGCTACGTGCACCGGGCTGCCCTTTTTCTTTTTTCAAAGGGTTGGATTCTAGAACTGCAGACAATTAATGATGAACATTCATTAGCGATCAAGGAAAGGAAAAAAAAAGTAGTGAAAGCGATATTAGTAT